AAGTACCTAGCTGGGCTAGTTCACCGGTCGGCTATCACCGTCGTTTTATTTTCGAAGGCAAATATAGCGAAAAATTGCAGCGGCGGAGGTGCACGAGTAGATGCGTAAAACGCATCAGGTAGTGAGTGTTCCAGCACATCGATGATAATATCGCTTTATGCTTATATAGGTTGGCATATGAATTGTGAGAACGCGCGCGCTGTCGAGCGTAACGAGAGACGCGTCCTTCGCGTTACAATAGTGCGGATTTATCAGTTGCGATCGTTTTTATATTCAGTGTAAAATCTCGAGATAGATATAGAAACGGTAACTGATTTTGCAACGTATTTTCGTCATTCAGATATACTCAATTGCTGCGTTTAGCGTGTTCTCATAATTTTTTTTCTCGAGAAGGCAAACTTTTTGACGCATTCGCTTCGCGAAGGTACTTTTTTTTGACACGGCGCTTTTGTATCGGCGCTTGATTAAATACTCGCAATCAAATAGAGCATGCAATTCACTCTCGGAGGAATTTACATAATCATTTCTGGAAGCTGCACGAGTCGACCCGCGCCCGCGGCGCAAAAATTTATACGAGCCCCGGTGAGCCAACGGCGAAATAATGTGAGGGAACTTTCCCCGACGAGAATGGTGGAGAAAAAGAGAGAGAAACTCACCGATGCGCAATGCTCGAGTCTTCCTCGAACAGTAGACGATGCAAACAACTTCGGCGAACGATAAAAATATGCCGGATAAAGTTTCGCGTTTACAATTCTTGGTGCGCGTTCGACGAGAAACTGGTTCTAACCTATTATAGATTCACGACCCAATCAAGAACGGGTAAACAAGGGAGGGTTGCTTGCGCCCTGTTTGTAGTCTTACTCGAGACAATAGAGTAGAGGCGCAATTGCCGGCTTATCCAATAATGAAGGTTTCAGTATTGCGCTTTTGCTTTGAGGAGTCTGCCGGATATTTATAAACGAAAGGTCAATCATTAATCTTCAGTGCTGTGATTAAGTAATTGCTCATTTTCCTCATTGTCGCTCCTTGTCGTTTCAAGAAATTCTTGAAAATTTTTTTTTGTATTCTTTATCATTCAGTTAAATATTGACCAAATTTCTGCTTTTCGTCGATGCTCAATTAGATTGTGTCAGTGTCGATATAAAATATTTAGCGACAACGAAAATTAGATTGTCAAGAGACATTAAACATAGTTACGAGCGACGAGATCAATTATTAAGAACCGATATCGTTATTCTGCTACACTGCATGCAATTCTCGGGTATCGTTTGATATCTTTCAAAGGACATCTCGGGGAAGCGAAAGGAGAAATAGATGATCATTCTCGGACGCGCAATACAGGTTGGAGCGAGACTGTTTCGTTCCGTTTGAGCAAATCTCCTGGCATTCATCTGAAACACAGGGCTGCTGCATTTTTCCCGGAATACTTCGAACGGTGCATAAACATACGGCCTTCGAACGATAAATTTCGTTCCCAAACTGTGTTTGCCCGCGAATCTGCAATTCATGCGTCGCTAGCCGCGTCATTGCGCTGGTGCGGTTTCGTCTCTTCGTATAAAGAGCAGACGAAACCGCACGTCGCGCGTTGCACTCGCGAGATTAAAGGGCGTAGCCAACAACATTCGAGCGAATAAACCAAGAATTTACTGTCTTCTTATGTAAACTATCACCCGACATGCAGCGTCACACTATACTTCAACAATATTTTGTCTCGAAACCTGAAACTTGTCATAATAATTTCCCTGACAATAGAAAAAATGTGACAAATTATATTATATAATTCCCAATATAATAAATTTTATTCGCTGTATATCTACATGTATAAGAATCATATCTCCATTATTCTGAATTTAGAGAAATCAAAGTTTAAAGTTTTAAATAGGGAAATGGTGTTTTTAGATATAAGATGAAAGTAGCAACTTGATTTATTGAGTTTTTAATAAAGTAATTTAACTGACAAGTTTAATAGTACAACTGCCAATAACGCGCTGTACCTGGTTTAAAATTAAGGCACTATGAAAATTTTCAATGCGACTTTTTTAAAACATTTTATCTTAATCACTAACAATAGACGTAAGACCTTTTATCATTATATAATTTAAGCCCCTGATATACATGTATCGGAAAATGTATTAACTCCATTTTGACAAAAACTGGACATATGATTCTTTACTTCTAAGATACAGAGATATACATATATATTCGTAAAAGCTTGACTGAAAGCTAGGCATGAAGATAAAGATAGCGTGCTATAATTCTACTCTGATGCACCTTTTCAAAATTTGATTTTTTTTCGTGTATATGAAACAAGCATAAGAGGGAAGTACAAAGAACCGAAGGAACTTTGCCTTCCATGCAATCGGAGCCAATCGGAGGGATTTAAAGTGAATGACGCTCGTCATCAATCGTTTTTTCGCATTTCCACTTCCGGAAAAGGCCATCGCCCGGTTGACCGGGCGCGATAAATTACCGCGGGGACAACGAGCGCGAGCGCTCTCCGTGAATTTCCCTTATCACAACGTACGTGACCGAGTTTGCCTGTAACATCGGTATATCTCGAAAATCCGGTCTTTTAAGAAAGAAAGAGAGAGAGAGAGAGAGAGAGAGAGAGAGAGAGAGAGAGAGAGAGAGAGAGAGAGAGAGAGAGAAGGAGAATCGTTACTGAAATTTGCAACACTCGCAGATACTTCTCGTTTGTAAACTTTTTTGTTAGTATTGATGCTTCTCCATCGACAACCGGATTTTTAACGTCGGTACTTTATCTTCGTTATTAGTTGGGTGTCGATATCATTATTCTAATAAAATCGGCCATCCATCAATAACGACCAATAAAATGTCTATTTGTGTCGTCAAAGTATGTGTCACTCATCGACAGTGAGCGGCTTAAATGGCACTCTGTCAACATGATAAAAATAATAGCTTTTATTTCTGGCCCATCGATCGTGCAACGTTTTAAAAGCGGTTTTTTGAGAAATTTGTTGGTTCGTTATATCGGATGTTGCGGCGAATTTTTGGTACACGCACTAACCGTAATTTTGATGCAGCAAATATTTTCAGGATCAAAAGCGAAATGAGACACATTAAAGAAAATAAGATACGGAGGGAGTACTTACTTAATATTTTCCTTTCGTCAGAACCACACGTGTTCAAAGTTTATTTTATCGCTTGTATACAGTATACAGTATATAACGTATGCAGTATATAACGTATACAGACGTTCACGAGTAATCGATTGATTGTAACATTCCCGATAGTTCGCTGATGCCGCGTGTAAATTCACTTAAGTAGCCCCCGGCTATTTGTTTCATTTTTTTGCATCAAACATTTTCGCGATGTATCAACCGTTTTTTTTTTTTACCACGACACCAGTAATTTAATATCTCGTGATTTGATTCTCACTACCACAATTTATGCACCACGTAGATATTTTCAGCGCGTAACCGCACCGCATTCGGTCGATCACTGATCGTGTTGCCGGATGAATTTATTAGCGTCGTTTATTAGGAGAAATTACGCGTTCGCGTTACGGTGAATGAATTAAAACGCCTCTGTCCGCGGGCAAAAGTACAACGTGCGAAATTATCTTGTCTGGGTCATCAAGCAGGTTATCCAGCGAGGGGGATAAATTATCAGTCGCGACACTCTCGATGAGCCACGCGAATTTTTCACGCGCGTTCTATGATTTATTCACGATAATCAGCTAGTGCTGCATGAACGCGTGATTTAAATTGCGAGATCGATGTTGCGGATTAGAGTCGAGCACGTGTCATTTTCCGTAATGTTTTTAACGATTTTTTCAACGCCACTTGCGGCGTTTGCTCGGCGTAAATAACGGATATAGGTAATAGCTCGCAATAACGCCGGGCGAGCGGCGCCGGCGTGCTAAAGGCACAATTTACGATAAAAGTACGATCGCTGATATCACCATGAATATCGATTTTATAATGCAGAATGAGCCGGAGCTGTGGATGAATAGAATCCCTCGATGGTGTAGAGCGCGCGCGAGTAAATGGAAAAGGCTGCTTATTAAGAATTTATTCGGAATACTTTTTAGCTGCCTTTCAATTCAATATGTCTAACGATGAATATTAAAAAAACTCGGCGAAAAATTGCCAGTTAAATCACCTGGGAGTCTCCGCTCGGAAAAGATTGACTCCGCAACTGAATCTATCAAATGGAAAGATCCATAATAATTAAATAATTCAGATGGATGAAGAAAATAAGATTTCTCATGGAATAATAGAAGTTGAATATCTCGATATCTTCATAATCCATGAAGTAAGCGGCTTTATCTTATTGTCATTCTGTGTTTGTTATATAAGAACCTTAATCCGAAATGCAAATATTTTATTGTATGTGATTTTTAGTCGTAGCGTATTTTCATTTATTGCGAGACGGCGTTCCTGAACAAAAAGATCCGAGTTACATTCCGCGCAGAAAGAAATTGCGAGCGCGTAAGCAACACGCTTGATTTAATTGCATTACGTTAGCCGCCTCGATCGCGATATTTTTGCCGGTCCGCAATTACGGGGGCCGTGGGGAGGAAAAATTACCGGCAAGAATGGGGAAACGGCGGTCGCGGCGGGAACGAGGCGGAGGAGGTGAGGTGCGGAGCGAATAATGACTCCGCGGCGCGCTTTTCCGCGATATCTGTGCGCGGTATCGGACGGTACCCCACGCGTGCTGTAACTTCCTAAATTATTGCCGGCGATTTGTTTGCCTCCCGGACTCGCGCCCGCGAGAGAGAATCCCGTGCGGATTAATCGGTCCAAGTGTCGCGGATCAACGATTAATTATAGACGCTAAACCGAAGAGATATGGCGGGTCGTTTGAAAATTTGGGTCGTATCCCGAGAGCAAGCCGATTTGCGCGAAAGCGTATATTTGGCACGATCGATTCAGTTTACTTGAAATATATAGAGCCGTATTGAACGTTCAGTGTCGCGCGATGACGCCGAGAGAATACGCGAGAGAATAATACAACGATCGATTTGTTTGCAGGCCTGCGACTGTCTGGGAGTCAGCAAGGAGTGCGATTACTTCGGGCTGAAGTACCAAAACGCGAAGGGCGAAGAACTCTGGCTGAACTTGAGAAACCCCATAGAGCGGCAGACCGGCGGCGGCGTGGCGCCTTTAAGATTCGCTCTGAGGGTTAAGTTTTGGGTGCCGCCTCACCTGTTGCTGCAGGAGGCTACCAGGTAAGGAAAATTAATCGGTACCAGTCGCGCCGTTGTTTTTGTCCGAATATATTTCGATCGCGACAGACCGAACAAATCCCCAGACGTTTTAATTCTTTTAGGAATAGTCTAATAAATAAATATATTTTTAGCAACGTAGATATGTAAACAGTTATAACTAGATTTAAATATTAATTTATTTGGAACGTAAACATCATAAAACATTTCTCCTCGAATTCAGCTAAACGCCTTAATTGCTTTAACGGAATTGCTTTTACCCTCCATATATCTTCGCATGATTATTTAACGATGTGATAATTTAGTAAAGCTTCTATTTCGCGTTTATGACCCTCCGACTATGGACGAGGGTTCGAAAGGGATCTACGTGTAATCTCGTAAACTCCCGGGGGGCCTGCTGTTCGTTGTTCCTCGGCAACCGGGAGACTGAGATGGACGGATAGTTTACATGCTCGACAGAGCGATCCTCCGCGATTGATTGGCCGATGTGATTTCAAGTATAGAGGCGATATCCCCTTATTTCAGGGATTACCGCGCGACATTGTCTATAGTTAAATTAGACGTCGATGATACCTAACGGGATCATGATGATCTCACAATAAGACTCCTCTGGGATGCTCTTAATCCTTCGGTAGAGCTCTTAATCCAAGTGTCCCACGTCTTTCTTTTCCTGCAATAAATTTCCAGTATCGGTAACTGGAAGTAGTTAGACCAATCCCTCTTTGCTACCGTCGCCGCTTTAATTACGGGACATTTGCATTGTCTCCGAGCTCTCTATACCGTCAGTCGAATTTCTCTCTCTTTCTCTCTCTCTTGCGTTCTTTATCGATCCTCGAACGTTTAAATACGGAAAGTTAGTTTTAAAATTTAGTCAAAGTTTCATCTCGTAATATCTATTGCACGACCATGGAGTCCGTCAATGTGATACGAATTCAAACACGGTATTGCATTCTGTTATTCTGTACGCAGTTTGTAGTAATATGTAATAAATGGTATTACCACGAAGGTAAAGCCGTCTAGTTGTGTTTTAAAATCAGCATCCGGCACCGTAAACTACGTAATGAGAAACTGCCTCCGGGAAATATACGTCGCGGGTGTACGGCCGGGAAAGCAGGAACTCATTTTGTTTGAAGTTCTGATTGGCTCGTTACCGCGGCGCGACGCCGCGTATTCAAAGCGAGGCTCACCGCGAACTCCGCGGCAGACGCGAATTGTTCCACTGTAATCCGACGCGCGGGTGCACTCGTGCGCATGCAACAACGAGAGGGAGAGACGGACGGAGGCCCTTGTCCGAATTGAAAATCGTTGCTGCCCTAAAAATCTTTTTCAGAGGGAGAGCCAGAGAGCGAAATCGAGAGAGAAAAAGGATAATAAAAAAAGAGGAAGGAGAGAGAAATGTGGCGAGAGACGGAAAAAGGGAGAAAGAAGGAGTGCTCGTGCAATCAGAATTCCTTGGGCGCGATCCGCGCGATCCATCGATCCTCGAGCAAGCACGTACGAAATTGCATGCTGGCGTCGCCATGGGAGTATACTGATTGCATCCGGCGATATCGCGTTGTCAGATATGTGTTTTCGGGCGCGAGCGCGGGAGCGACGCTAGTGCGCTTTTCCGCGCGGGCGAGACGCACGGTAAATAATGTTATGCACGGCGCCGATGTGATTTATTTTGCATTATTCGCGGCATTTGTATCGGCGTCGTCCCGATACGTGACATTGCCGCAATACAATCGCCGCGTCGCGAGATTGAATCGCGTCGGTGCAGTGGAGAGCAGGGAATATACATATTTGGGAAGCTCTCGCGGAGTTTCCTCATGGATTTCCGGTTGAACGGATCACAGGTTTGATGAGAAATTTGTCCGAAAGATTTAAATGAAGCTTGTGTGTGAACAGGTGAACAGATAGATTTTAATTGCGATTTTCGTGAATAGAAAAACTCGCTTATGTCACGGAGAAGTAGTTAGATATTCGAGTTTCGCGTCGGTATGTTCCTTCCCGTTTCCCGTCGCGATTAAACTTCGGAAAGGAGTGACGTGTTCTCTACCTAGAATTGCTTCTCTCTCTCTCTCTGAACACTCTCTGCAACTTTTCAGAGCTTTTCGTGGTTCTTAAAGCGAAAAAATTCCCGACGCGACAGTCCGGCGACGAATACCCGCGCTCGTGTCGGAAGTTTCCGGCGAGTCGACGCAATTAAACGTAGCCTGGATCGATTGTAATTAGTAGCGGCCCGCAAATTTCAACGGATCGAAACGTAATTTCAATTTAATCGCGTTCGCTCGAATTACCTCCGCGTGAAGCTAAATGCGCGAAGAGTAATGCGTCCGGCGTGCGAATTAATTCGTCACCGATATCGTGACGCTGCTGTTGTAATTACGCCAGCTGGTGCGACGCCAACGTAACTCTCTCACTGTCCAGCAATATGTAATCCATTAGATTTACTGCGAATCCTTCTTGCTTTACGTGCAGCATGAAAAAGACGTGATGGTTATTCCTATAGAGACATCGCGAGATATTTTCAGTAGAAATATATTTTAAACTTTAATTAAGGAACAAAAAATTGATTGACAGATTCAGAACACTCTGTTCATCTGTAATGCATTATGAATTGATTATTAAATGTACCTAACTTTGATGTTATAAATTAATGACCTTAAATTAATGAATTTTATTTCTGCAAGTTCCGACAGTGTTAATAATTAAGAAATTTAATTATTGAAAGCGGAACTAATAATAGACGAAATACAAGAGCGGGATTTTGTTTAATTAAGAAATTAGGCTTTTACGCAAGTACGCTCGAGCGAGATTTTACGCCTAGCCTAGCCCGATTACGCCTCGTCGAAAAAGCCGATTTCACGAGCTTCCCTCAGAGCCTCTTAATCCGTGCATGGCGCTTCGACGTCCCTTTACGATGTGTGTCTTTTGACATTGCTGTATGGTCGACCGAATTAAATCCAAATCCACCGAGAGATTTACCTTCCGCAAGTTAACATCGCGCTTTCAGGTGCGATTAGCGAATTTCCGGTATTACATCATCAATATGATCATTACTCAAGTCGCAGATTATTTCTACCATAAGCCGGATATACGTTACCCAAATTACGTGAGACTTTTAGCTGGGCGAATCGCAATTAATCTCTCGAAGGTACTTCTCAGTGCGCAGACACATAAGCGAATTAATCTCTAACAAAATTACGACATTACCACATCGCGCTTATTTTCCACTCCAGCCGGGATATCTCGGAGGGTCGTGTGTATATTCGGTGTGTAAAATCCGTGGAGTATGGCACGAGCCCGGGCAAAACGGTTTGTCTCGGAGCTGTCACATAAGATACCACAAAATTAATCCCGGCGTGGGTCAGATTTAATTGCGTTACACCGTGCCGTTCGTGACGGCTTTTTCCGAGAAAGGGATGGGAGGATGCCGGCAAGGTTTTGCAGGACCAACACGCTGATATTAAGAGCTACTTGATGTGCAGATTACATTAGTGTCCGGCCAAGCTACGTCGAGCGTTTACTTTTGTATCGTAAATGCATATTCTATTATTTCTGCCTTACGATGTTCTATTTGCATTATCGACGAAAATTTGGTGATCAAAGTGTTTGATCATTTATACAACTCGCCGAAATTAGCTGTTCGCAGTTTGTTTTCGCGCTTGATTAATATCTCGGTAATTTCGAGTCACGTTAAGCTTGTCGGCAATATTTTCATTGATGACTGCCTTCTGATGCAAATACGCAGGAAATTCGTAAAAATACAAAAAATGAGAACGATAATTTTTTTTTTTTTAATCGAAACGTAGCGTACTTCATCATCATATTTTATCACAGGGATATAAATCACGGGGTATCACGTTAATTATTTGGCGCTATCGACTTTGCCTGTGATTTATCGATCTGCATTTTTATCCGCACACACAAAAAAAATTCTCCGATCGCAAATTCGAACCTCTGTCCGACGTGGAAGCTTCATACCGGCGCTCGCATTTGATTTATCGGCGATCTAAATTTCGTTTGCAACGAACGTCACGACTTTCCCGTCACATTCCGCCCGTAAATTTTTGGAAGATATACGGGCGCGAAGTGACACGCCTCGCCATTATCGCATCGCGAGGTGATCGATGATTAAAAATACAGCGCGTTGAAAATTGTTATATCCATATTTTATAACTGACGACAGCGAAAATTAACGGGCCGCGCAATTAATTTCGTAATAATGATTCGTCGTAAAATTTCAATGAACGTCGCTGTATCCATCGAGGGCGTCGAGTTTACGCCACGGGTAGATTGAGAAGCGAAATTTCATCGCTCCGTTCTTATTAATTCGCATTGCACTTTCGCATTAGCGAAATGTCGTCAGCAGGATCGTCTATCATATGTCGCAACGGTGAGAGAGAGAAAGAGAGATCGCCGACTATTTCTTCCAATCGCGAAGTCACGACGTTGATAAAGACAAAGTGTTTCGGTATCCAAGGTGGTCGGAACTTATAACTCTAATCTGCAGAATTACAACTGCAACTTTTTATAAGAATACTACAACGCGCGAGTAATTTGTCATTTCGTTCGCGTCGCGAGGATCCCGAAGATTTGCGTTTGAGGAGAAAAAAATTCGCAAAAGTGTACGAGCTCGAGGATTACAACATCGTTACTTTAACCGTTAAAACTACGTTTCTAACAAATTCGAATATTTAAGGTAATGGAACAATTTATGTGTTTGCCGTAAATATTAACAGTGGCTATAGAATTTCTATGAACTAACTATTATTTCGTGAATTATTATTCGTTCATGATATATTCGTAAATTATTACGTGAATACTAATTGAGAAATTACCAGTTGTAAAGAATAACAATTGAATAATAATTGAAATCGCTATTAACATTTCTATGATAGGCAAATGTAACTATTCAGTATGGATATGCATATTGATATTTTAGCATGTTTATCTAAATTTACATGAATCTTCGCTCGTATATCTATGAGGAAAAATATATCGTAATTTTACATTTA